TTCCTGCTGCGCTGTCTATAAGTTTACATCCTACTCGGAACAAATGTGAACTCCTAGTCAGGAGACCTCATGCTATGACCAGGGGATGGTGATTAAGAAAGTCTTGAGCTTGCAGTTCGAAAATAATAACTTTACAATTAAAATGTGAAATTTGAGAGTCGTTGGTTAAGTAGAGTTTGACACTACACTTTCTATTTCTATGAACAGTTAATTCAAGTTTATTAAAAATTAGTACTTTAGTGGTTATAAAATATCAGTGGATTTCCTTACATGTGGAAACTCATGTTTTATATTGATATATCTCTATTAGGAAGTCGGGGGACTAGAGGATCCCAGGTTGACAGTCACAGCAGTAGTGGAAACTACCATGACAGCTGGGAATCAAGGAGTAGCTACCCTGATCGGGATCGCTATGACAGTCGAGAACAAGCAAGGGATTCCTCCTTTGAAAGAAGACATGGTGAACGGGACAGGCGTGACAACAGAGAAAGAGGTATTTTAATGTGTATTTTTACACATACATATGTAGTCAAATGTATCTCTCTCCCTCCTTTTTTTTTTCCCTGATTCTGCCCCCATAACACTAATTCATAAATAACTTGTTTGACACGGCACACTGACACTAGTCCTGTCCTAGCTTCACTAGTAAGATCTCTCATTGGCAGTGTATGCATGCATGCTATGCCTTTTCTCCCTTCCTATGGCTAGATTTTGGCACCTTCTGTTTTTATTCATCCAAGTAGTCTTTAAACAAAATAAACTTCTTCAAGAGATTGCATTGTACAACTTCAATGTAAAATGTTTTTGCATCCTCTTTGCCTCCTCCTCCACTTTATGTATGTATGCATAGAAGCTTAGAGTCATGACTGCATTTTATTACTGGTTCTGTTTGTCTGTATAGAAACATAGTACTTTTGCACTGTAAATTACATGAGTGTGTTTTGGGGAAGGCCTGACTACTAGACTGACTGACTTACTGGCTACTTACTACTAAAGCAAGTGACAGTTTAAACTTACGATTAATTCAAAAATTTTTTGCCTGGGAAATTTAGTATTGATGAATGCTTTGTTGTGGTCAATAATAATTGGCTAGTAAGTGTTGGTACAGATACCAGTGATCATAGAAAGAGTATGCAAGAGTATGCAAAAGGTCACGCTTCTGCACCTGAAAGAGTACTGTGTTGTCTCTGAGGAACTTAGTACCAGCTTTCACTTTGGAAAATATTTGTATTGCTCACCAATTAAGAGAACAGGAGGAGTCAGGCAAATGAAGACAGCATGGAAATGAAATGAGGAGCTGTGAAGAATAAATATAAAATTGGAATTCTTTTTTTTTCTATCTTGAATTTTGATGTGAAAATGACAGATATGTTCTAGCTGTTGTTTAACTTCAGTTTTTCAAAGAGGTGTTTTGTATGTTACTTTGTGCGGTGCTTTTTGGTCTATTGCAATGTGTCTATTATTGCTTGTTCTTGTGACAGGTTCTGCTTTAGATTCTGTCTCATCTTCAAGGCAGGATTTCAACAAACCTAATCTCCAGGCTTCCTTTTTCTTGTCAGCTGAAAAAGTCCTGCAGTCTGAATGTGTCCTGGGGGTTGGCTTTTGCAGCCTAGCTTTCATCTCTTCCACCTCCCCACCCCCAATAAATCCTAGATATATTATAATGTAATTTGTGCTTTTCGTATCTTACAGAGTTCTTAATCTATTAAGAAAAACATTAAAAAAAAAAAAGAAAAAAAAGCCCTTAGAAGGAAAAATACATCATCACAACAAAGTAAACTTCTAGAAGGGAAGTTATTTTGAATGGCTTGTGTTTCCCTTTGGGGAGAAAAATGTATAGAGCTTGAATGGAAATAAGATCTGTTGTTTCCTTCCTTAAAAATATAGATCACTTTTTGTAGTAGTAAATCTTCCTCAGAGTTACAATTCAAGACATAGTTTCCGTAATTAGACCACAGTTTTAACATTTGTCATTCAGAGAAGAATGGAGATAGATTTTGGTTGGTACTTAGTTCTATCATATGTAAGGAATCTTTTTAGTGTGATTTTTAAAATGTAAGCTTGCAAATTTGGGCTGTCCTTGTTCAACTAAGGCAAATATGTAGGTGTTCCAAACAACCACTGGAACAGCGCTTCAAATAATGAAATCACGTAAGTGCTGACTGTCCACGTTTAATTGTCTAATACACTTCCAGTATCTTGATTCATGTAAGAGTTTCATGTAGATGTTTTGTCACCAAAACTGACATAACAAACAGGAGTTACAGAACTTCTGTATAAAATCTAATACTTAAAATGATTTATCATGCATACTATAATGTTCTGGGCACTGTTAAAAGAATGTGAAACCTGTTCATGGAACCAGTTGTACGTACTGATGATTTCCCTTTTTAAGAAAGGTGTTACGTCCATGGCAGAAATGTCACTCAAGTTTGCTTTTAATTTTACCTGGTGGCAGGGGAGCATTAAGTCATTGTTAATTCACTCAGAGATGAAAATTGATTAAACTGATGGAAATGCGTGTTTTATTGATTTAGTCCGGTTCGAACTCTGCCTGCTCACCCCTGGTGGACATTGTCTCAATTTACAGCAAAGTGCACTCTCAGCCCCAGAGTAATGGACTGAAAAATATCAACCTCTGTTTGTGCCATTTTTTGCTCTTTTGTATAGTGCTTTTAATATATATTGTGGAAAAACAGTTTTATTGATTTGTTGTGATACAAATACTACTAACATCAGCATAGAAATTGTTACGAAGTGGCCAAAATTTATAGAAATATTTTTTAAAAATATGCAAAATATAACTAACAAAATGCAGCTAAGTCTGTGGAGAGTAAATACCATCAGATAAATCAGGTTTCACTGTCCTTCTGGATCAGTCATTTTCTATATAAATTTAGTTTTCTCTTCTAATCCACTGTCTGAACACTGAAAAACTCAGCTTCTAAAACTCTATGGCTCTGCAGTGAATACATATGGAAACTTCCAGCAGTCCTGTTTCCTGTATTGCATCCTTGCCTCTCTCTTTCTCATGGATTTGGTTGTGTATTTCTGTGCAGGGATCTCTTCTTCTGTGACAAGACAGGCTAGTATTTCTTATTTTGCAGTAACTTTTACTATGTATTATAAATAGCGTGAGTTCTTGTAAAGCCTGTGACTCCTAGCAGTTTTGGGAAGTAAAATTTTTGTACAGAAATCTTAACGTTTCATTTTCATACGTGTGTCATTCAGAGCTTTTCAAGACCTTATACCAGATTTTGAATCATTGAGTAATGCAATAGTAATAGCTAGGCTGTGAGGCATATAATTATCTTTTGAAGCCATTCAGAAAAATCTGGTAGAAAATAAAATTTTTGTAGTAACTTTTGGCTAAGATAAGGAAAGCCTGCTCCTTAAATATTGCAAAAATCTTTCAAAATTAGTACTGCTTTTTGTCTTTTTCCCTCCCCAAAGAGAATTTCCAAGTTTCTGCAGGGAGTTGCTTTTCATTTAACGCAAACCAATATCTAGATTGTCAAAACAAAAGCTCTTGTGTTTTTATCAGTGTAGTGGAAGCGGCGTATGTCCCTTTAGCACTTAGTAATCAAACCTGCCTCTCTTCACAGATCAGAGAGCAAGCTCACCGGTACGACATCAAGGACGAAGTGATGACCTCGAGCGGGATGAAAGAAGAGAAGAGCGAAGGGTAGATCGGTCTGATGATAGGAGAGATGAAAGGGCCCGGGAGAGAGAGCGAGAAAGGGAGAGGGACCGAGAGAGGGAAAG